CAAGTCCATGATATAAAAAAAATTTTTAGAGTTTTTTAGTCATTTAGCAGTAGTGTGCTTGGAGGTTGAAGAGGAACTAAAGAAAGGTTAGAATGGCCGTCTTATAGTAGGAAAAAGGTATAGCAGTAAGTGCACTGAAGGGAGATACCGCAAAAAGGAAATGACAGAATGTACCACCTCTGACGGGGGCGGGATGAAGGGAAAGAAGATCGGTGAGGAGTTTCAAGTGATGCTGGATGATTCAAGTGAACATGTGTAATCATCAACCTGAAACAGGAAGAGAGTAGAGCAATATGCTTCTCTTGGACATTATCTGAAAATACACACTTTCCTACAGCTGGTAATGCTATCAATCTGTTCTGCAATATCAGCCCACTAATCACAACCATTCATTAGTGAAAGGGCTAGGGACAAGCTATGATTAACAGAATCTTGTGAACTTGGATTCTAGTCTGGTCTGTATCTTGAACATGAGGCCTAAGGTAGGTCACCTACTTTCTTGCTGTATCTGAACTTGTTTCCTCATCTGGACAATGAAGGGAATAGACCAAACAAAGTCTTTTTTAGATTGCAGTTGCCTTGACTCCATAGAGGGAGAGAGACTGCCTTCCCCAGGGCTGGTCCTTCAAAGAGAGAGTGTCATTCTTCCTTTGTAACAAGTCCTGCTAATCTGGAATGTGAGACCACTGTTAAGTTTTCTATTCATGCTGTAACAAATTGCCCTGAACTTGGGACTTAACAGAAGATATTCATTGTCTTGGGGTCTAATGGGTCAGGGATCCAATATGAGTCTCACTGAGCTAACAGGCATTACAGGCTGAGTTGGCTTCTGGAAACTATGGAAGAGAATCCACTGTCTTGTACTCTACAGCTTCTAGAGTTGCCCACATTCCCTAATGCATGCTCTTTCTCCATCTTCAAAGCCAGTCTTGGTAGATCTGGCCCTTCTCAGATCATATCACTTGAACCTTTTCTTCTGTCTCCCTCTTCCACTTTTATTTTTTTTCTTTTTTTAGTTGTAGATGGACACAATATTTTTATTTTTATTTATTTATTTTTATGTGGTGCCGAGGATCGAACTCAGGGCCATGCACGTGTGAGGCAAGCACTCTACCACTGAGCCACACCCCCAGCCCTCCCTCTTCCACTTTTAACAATGATTATGATTACTTAGGGCCCACCTGGGTAATTCAGGATAATCTACCTAGCTTAAGGTCATTAACTTATTCATATCTGCGAAACTCTTTTTTGCCATGTGATGTGACATGCATATATATAGGTTCTGTGAATTAGGATGTCGCTATCTTTGTAAGGGTTGGGATGGGGATATTGTTTCGTCTTTTCATGATATCTTTTCCTGAGGAAACAGGAAATTATTTTACTCTTTGTTCTATTTCTTGTGTTTCACATAATATTGAAACCTTATCTGAACTTTATACTGTGTGCTATACAAATATATTCAATAATTTTTAATTTATCAACATTTAAAATATGGAAGTCATTGTCATTGAGTCATATGTTGAATGATTTAAAAATATCCCAATTCTACCCATTCAAAAAACATAAAACTTAGAAAACATGCATATTTAAATTTAGAGTGGAAAACTATTTTTTCCCTGAAGGAAGAAAAGGGATATAATTGAGTTTATTTGCCTTAGGAAATAATAAAAATAGTTGAAGAGTGAGAAATTAAACTTAAGTATAGCGTTTCACTTTTTAAAGCTTTTTTTTACTAAATGATATCCTTTCAAAACAAAAGCATGTCTATAAACTCTTTTTCTCTTCTCCGTCTTTAGCTTGACAAAAAGGATATTTTGCTTGGTGTTTTAATTTCTATTTGTAAACAACAATGTAGTAACTGTCTTTGACAGTCGGGAGGATTTGTTAAATGAGGTTTATGAAGAGTGGTCCTCCACAGAGTGTGTCACTTTTCCTTTGTAACATGCTCATTTCGAATGGACATATGTTGTACCAGCAGAAACAATGGAGACCAAACCACAAGTGGAAATAGAAATTTCAGCATATGAAAGTGAAGCATTAGAGAATTTTTCTCATGCAAACTTACTGAGGATGATGAGTCTAGATGGAAAAGTGTATTTCCAGAAGTCATGTCGAATCCTTTTTACTCAGCAAAATTCCCAGGAAACAGTCCATAGCCCTGAGAAATACTATACTACAAACCAAAGTTATTAATTTAGAGAATAATAACCAGCAAAGTTACACATTCACTACAAAAGTGATAACGGCCTTGCGCAAAACAAATTCCTAAAAATCTAAACAAAACATTTTATTCAATTAACTAAATCATAATCCTCCCCAGAAGAGGAAAAGAGGGCACAGACACTTTACATTCCTGCTTGCAACAAGAGCCAACCCAAACTCTGCCCATGTAATTTCTAAATGACACAAGGGAGATGGCTAAAACCACAGTGGAAATAGAAAATGCCTTTAATACTTTCTATTATAAACTTTTCATCTCATGAAGAAACTCGGACCAAGCACATTGGATAACAGTATGGCCCCACTTGCTCCCATGGTTTATTTTTGCTTCTTTCTCTAAACTGCTCCTCTTCGTTCACGGCTCTGTCGTTGGTTCTGATGTCTTAAATGGGAGCTGAGTAAGATTGATGTGGCGTGGTTTATTTTCGATAGTCCCATTGTTCCAGCTGAGATAAGTTTCAGAAGTGGGCAGGAAGAGCTGTTGGATGAGAGGGCTGTCTACTATCTGGAAGGAGAAAGACGACAATCCGTTTTGGTTTTTTGCCATTTGTTCTCCCAGCACAATTTCAACACTTACCAATTATAGTTAAATAATCAATATTATCTCATTTAGAGTACATTCAAAATATTATAATGTGTCTCTCATTGCAAAAATACTCTTAAGTTCTTTTTACTCCTATATGTATTGTTGATATCCCCTGGTTTAATCTTTTCTGGTCTAGTTATCATTTGAACTGTGTTGTTTCCCCAGTATTCTTAACGTGCATTCTTGAATTTCTGCTCTCAAGTTTACAATTTTTAAAAAAATGTCCTCTGGCCTCCTCTACAGGCAGCCACATCTAGTCATCTTCCTTCCGAATCCAGCTTGCCTTTTTTAAATATTATGGAATCTTACATAGATGCAGTTTATGGTAATGTCTCCCTTCTCTGCATTCATATAGAACTTATCACTATAGAACTAGCCATATGTTTCTAGTTATTTATTGTGTTTAGTTCTTGTCTTTCCAACTGCTAAAAAGGTTCTTGGAGGGAGGGATTGTTTGCTGCATATTTTAGTATTTATGGCACTTTGCCTAATATCATGCAGATTTTAGGTTACTTATAATTGATTAGGACTCTTGGTTGAATGTTAAAAAAAAACTTAATTCACACATTAACTCAACTAATGAAGGCCAGGGGTTGGTCGGGCTGAATACTTAGCCATCACTAGACCAGGTTTCCAAATTTATCTGTCCTTTTCTACTTATTGTCTCTGCTTTCTTTTGTCTTTGCTTCCGTTTTAGGTAGGAGCTCCCTAAATTGTACCCTATGAAATAGAAAGAGAGCTTTCCTCTCTCAATAGATCTAGAAGAAAGTCCTAATGTTGTTACTCCTTGGCATTATTGGATCATGTGATTACCAAGGCTATCAAGGTTGTCAGAAGGAAGTGCTTGGGTCATTGGCTGAATCTGAGTTATGAGGTCATTTCTTGAATCAGGAGGTGTATGATCTGTGGCCTTGGTGCTCTCCATCACAGGAACTGAGATTGGAAGAGGAATGGTTCTCTAGTGGAAAAAGTGGCCTTTTGTGCCATTAGAATGGGAAATGGGCACTAAGCAGACAAAACCATGATGCTCACTGGGGAGTTCAGGAAATGTTTGCTAACTGATCAGCTTAACATCCTTGTAGGAATAAGTCAGGATTGTAGATATTCTTTTTACCTTCACCCAAAATATTTTGTGGTTAAGATAGTGCTTCACAGTCCTTGTTTGAGGTGGGTGTGAAGGTGATGTGACCTATGTCTTTGGCCCCCCTCTGTAACAGGTCACCTGTATTAAGGAGGCTGTTATTCTCTCAAGTGTGGGTTAATAACTGTGTGTACGTAGTGTTCAAACCTCTAAATAGGATCTCAAAGTTCTTTTGCGGAAGAGTAGATAGAACAGTAATCAAATCTCTCTTTGTGGTTTGTGATATTGGCCAAATTGTTTCATGGTAAAGCAACATAGAGAGCATTGTTAAGTGACTAAAGCGCTGGTTTTATGTCTCTGTTTTGAATCCATTTACTGAGAACTATGTTGACTCCAGAAATTGATTACAAAGCATACAAATGGTAAGCCTTTGAAGTTGTGAATATTTCTTCTTCTTTTTTCTTTTTGGCATTGCTGAGGATCAAACCCAGGGTTTTGTTATGGTTATTTGGAACATGAGTATTCAGGATATTTTCTGAGTATTCAGGATGGCAGGATTTTGACTACCTATTTTGTACAATGAGAAGTAAGAACAGAAGTTGTTGAAGTGTAAAATTTTAAGTCATGCATTGAATAATTTGCTGGAAATCCAGCCAGTGAACTTGTTAATGAACATTGTAGATAGCGAACAAAGAATATTAGGAAAGTTAATTTCCATAGGAAATGGCTGCTGGATAGGCAAAACTGAGATGCCCAGAGGAAAGTTCAGCCAGTGTTTTGCTGACTGACAATTTAATGCCCCTGTCCAACAGGAGTCAGGTTTATGTACTATTTTCACCTTCAACCAAGCACTTTATGGTTGAACTGTGTGCTAAAATTTGGATAAAAGCACATATAATCCTTTATCATTTGAATTTTGTTTGATATTGAGTATGCATTTCTTATCTAGTTAAGTTTGTTTATTTGTTTTGGGAAAAGAGCAAATCAAGCATAAAAGAAAAGAGTGTGTCCTTTAGAAGTCAATGTTCTGAAACCTCTGAGTGAATAGTTATTACAATCAAAAACATTTATTGGATCCTGCCTTAAATTAATTTTTAATCTTTACTTTTTTAGAACTGGAAGATAAGCAGAAATCTACAGCTGGTACCTGTCCAGGTATTAATTTGTTCTTACAAATGTTTAAATCGGCGTGACCCTAACCTCTTTGGAATTGCTCATATGTAGAGCAGGTGAGACGCTCTTTCAGAGCCTCGCTAGACAGCTCTATCAGCTCTGCACACTGGTGTTAATGCCTACCTAGGATGCATCTGGTCTCTTTATCAATATATTAATCAAAGGAAGACAAATAATTCAATTACAAAGATCTCAATTTAAGTATTATACTTTTAGATTGTTTACCTTCTTAGGTGTGCTATTTTTTTTTCTCTTGGGCTCAAAAAAATAAAACGAATGAATAAAAAATGGAAAAGATCTGTGTGGTACAGAGTTATTTTTTTTTCCTGTCACTTTATGACCACCAAATCTCCTTTTCTAGAAAAATATTAAGAGACTTTGATGAGGAGAAGTGTTTATGTGATGAATGTTTTGCGATTGAAAGATTGCAATTGAAAGATCGATTTTTATTGCTGGATACTTGTATTATGTTAGTATGATTTCATTTGAGGGACCAACATATATTGAATTAAGTTCAAACTTTCATTCTGCCCTAAAATGGGTGAAAGGCTGGATCTCAGATAAGCTAAATCCTCACACCACTTCATTACTGTTTATAAAGTTTCAATTTTTAAATTTTTTTTTTTCAACAAGAAAAACTTAAGAAAGCCAGGGAAGTAGTGCTTTCTTTGAGGGGAAAGTTAGGAAAAGAAGTTATACAAATGTATGGTATATTTTGCATAGACCATTGGTTCTTGGGAGTGCATTTTTTTTTTCCTAGCACCATATACAACACTTGGGAACTTGTTACAAATGCAAATTATTTGGCTCTACCCCAGAAATACTGAATCAGAAACTCTGGGAGTGTGGCCCAGCAATCTCTGTTTCAACAGCCCTCTGGGTGATTTCTTTGTATGCTCTAGTTTGAGAACTACAGTTCAGTCTGCTTTGCTGTGTATTCAGAAAAGCAAGAAATTTAATCATAATTTTTTATTTAAACTTCATTGGAAATATATTTCTCCATGTAATTATTTTTTGGTTCTTCTAGCAGAAAGCACAGTCTCTTCTTCCATGCATTTATTATCATGTTACCTTCACAGCTAGGCCTTTGTGAGTTCAGTTTAGGGCATGCTCCTTTGCGCATTAGAGTTGCCTCTGGCATACCTGGGAAGCTAAATCCATTGTGTACAGCAGAGAGGCTCCCCATTTCCAAAGAGCAAGGTTCAGACCCCACTCCATTACCCAAGAATGCATTTTAAACAAAAATAAAAATTAGAATAAAAATGAAAGGCTTAGGAGCTCATTAATAATAAGTTGTAGAAATACACTCTGTGCTTATTGAGGAAAAGCTGCTCAGTAAATTGATTTTGATTAGGGAAATACCTTAATACAACCTGTGCTGTTTTCTTTACCATATAAATGTTTTGTTTACCATATAAATCCCTTGACTTCAGTCACAAGTTATGTGCCATTTGGGTTCTGAAGAGAAATTCCATCTATTTATCTATCTATGTATAATTTATTCAACAAATATTTCCTTGAAGCTCCAGTGATGTGAGAGAGGATCTTGGCTTGCTCCCTTTCTATCCTGGTTTTCTTTATCTCTGAAGGTACAGCAACCTGGATTCTGATTCAGCATCCCACTCCGACTGGCCTTTCATAGGTCATCATGTGTTCCTTCCTAGCTACCTGCTCTTATATAGCTGATACTCATTGCAGGTTTGGGCACCATTGACCAGTGGCCTCCTTAAAACTGTGTGTCTAAAAAAACAAAAACAAAAAACAACAACAACAAAAAAAAACTGTGTGCCTAAGTTTCATTCCTCCTCCTCCTCCTCACTTCTCTTTTGTACCTTACTTTTAAAAACTGGCATTCTATGAGATTCTCTACTCATTTTCTTCTCACTGTTTCTTTAGTGAATGAATTCATCTACCCCCACCATTTTTATTCAGTATCGTTGATCATCTGAGTTAGCATCTCTTCAATATCCTCCTCTGTTTTTGACCCATGTTTCTAAGCTCCTCATTCTAAACTATCCAAAATAGAACAGTGTCTCTTCTACTAAGTTGTTATTTTTCCATTTATTCATTTATTAGGCAATGTTTATCGAGGGGCTATCTACCAGGCACCATTCTTTGTTGTAAAGATATAACAATGAAGAAGACCAAGGGGCCCAGCTCTCATAGAGTTTGCTTTGCTAATGGAGGGAGGTGAATGATAAACAATAGACAAATAATAGGGTGATGAATATTTTGAAGAGAAATAAAATAAGATTCAAGAGATAGAGAATGATGGGAATATTCTTTTATGTAGGGTGGTCTAGGTCTGATAGGGCAATATTTGATCAGAGATTTCAAGTTTCTGTAATAAAGCCAGTTGGGTAATTGAAAGCCTAAAAGGTTAGGATGATATCAGAAAGCATCAAATAACCAAAAGTGTGCTAAAGAATAACCATGACTCTGATGTCAGGAAATTTAGTGTTGCTGGCTGCATGGTCAGTATCAAGTGTTGCCATGGGAACCACACTAAAGAAGGATGCATTTGCCTTTGCCCTATAGGGACATCCCATATCCTGAATCATTGATAAATTAAATCAGAAACTTAATCTCTTACTCCATGTGAATGTGAAACCATAATCCATTTTAAATGCTGCTGTCACATCTGAAACAAAATATTTTTATTATCCAACAATTACAACCAACCTTTATGTAGAGGAAATCGAAGCAACTGGAGCATTAACTTTTTGTGAATTATCTACATTCAATTCTTTTCTCCTTGTTTGTCACTCCCATGAGTACTCTTGGGAATTTTCATTTTCACTCATGTTTGCCTCATAAGGAGAATAAAAAATGAGAAACTCGTGTCTCTTACTGTTTGTTATAAATTCTTATCACCCATGGGAAAGCAGTTTCAAATAGAAGACTCTTATTTTAGAATCATTAATGAATTCTGTTTATGTCCCCAGAATTCAAAATTCAAACGTGGTTTCTAAATCTCTATGTTTATGTATCTCCTTTGTATACATAATCCAAGACATTTTTTTCCAGCTAGTTGCTCAAAATTTCTAGCACTCTTTCAGAATGTTATTGATTGAATCCAGATGGCAACGATTCAATTGATATGGCTAAAGAACTGATACAACTTTTCTATAATTTAAGCAATAAGTAAATAAGGATAGTTGCTTTTTTGTCTTTTATGTTAAAAAACTTTTAATGCACATTTTATATTCATATTAACTTATCAATACTTATTAATGTATACTTCACTCAAAATTGTAAAAGTTTTAAATGAAGGTAGTAAACTCTTTTTTTTTTCACTTGATAAAACATCTAAAAATACCAAAGTTTTGTTGTTTGGGTTGTTTTCTGGCCTCAGTAGTAAATAATACAAATGGCTGGAAGTCAGCACTTGCTCTTGCTGAAGAATTGTTTTGTCTCCTGGCACAGAAAGTTCTAGGGCAGCTTAATTTGCAAATCCATTATTGGAACTCTGGGAGCCTTCTGCAGGCAACAGGGTTCCAAATTGCATGAAAGCTCCTAACCAGAGGTTCAAAGGTAACCTTGAGACTCAGAGAGTGGCCAGGCACACTGGGATTACGAGGGGACATCTGAATAGTCCTTTTCCCACTAAAGTGGTGTCCTGAGGAACCTGAGTAGTCACCCGAGGGGAAGGAAGTCCAGGGTGTCCAGTGTGCAGGGCTGGAGTGAGTGAAGGTGGTTTATGGCATGTAAACTTAGGAGCCGGTGGTAGGTGAGTGAATGAGCTGTAAATATTAAAAGAGCAAGGCTACCTAGAATATATTTAAGTGGGAAAGCAAAAAGATCTATAATCTCATAGAGTCAGACTATCGAAGGGAAATGAGAGATCTCAAAGACAAGGCTGGGAGTCTCCAGAGGAGAGAATGGGGCCAGGCAAGTCAGCATCACTGTGGACTCATGCTGAAGGCTAGCCTGGGTCATGTGTTGCAGGCATAAGGCACCAGACATGGGCTCCATGGAGCAGAAGTTTCACCAGGGCCACCTAATGGGGAATCACAACCTTTTATTCCCTTAAGTTGGTTGATAATTCTTGGAGAGGGGAAGAAGGTGAGTGTATTAGTGAGAGGGCGACCTAGATGGTGGCCATCACTCTCCAGGTCACTTCAGTGATAACAAAAGCCTGCAGTTTCTTTGTTGTAACTGAAGAAATCAGGGGCTAGACGTGGCTTATTATTCTGTCTTTCCATTAAGAGGACCAAAGAGTGCATTTGCCACATTTTCAAAATGCTCAATTAAAATGCCTCTGTCAAGTAAAATGATTCTGGTTTGAAAAAGAAAGCACGAACAAGAATATCTCTATTCCACTGTAAGACTTTCATTTTACGCTTATAATTGCTCATCCAACAGATATTTATTGATTCCTACCACAAGGAAGACATGATCTGAACTTAGAATGGATGAGCCGTCATCTTCCCTAGACCCTGACGAGAGAAGGATTCCTCTAAGATCAGTCAGATCGAGCTGTTTTCTGCTCAAAACCTGACATCTCCCAACAACCTTTTTTCTTTCTTGTTTTAAATTTTAGTTGACGCATGCTAATTGTACACATGCAGGGGGTGCAATGTGATGTTGTGATATTCTCACATCTCCTTTCCTCCCCTGGATCACTCATTCCCCACCTTCCTCAGGAAGTCCCCCACGACACCCTATTTAAAATGGTGAGTCCCACCCAGCATGCACCGATGTCCCTTTGGTTTCTTCCAACCCTCATCATCTTCTATTTCAATCTATAATTTACTTAATAGTTTTATTTGCTGTTGATTATCCTCTGTTACAATATATAACTCTAAGAGGGCAGGGAAGGTATTTTTCCTTTCCTTTTATTATAAAATTTCTCAAATCTACAGAAAAATGGAAAAATTTTGTACCCTGTGCTTCTCATTTATTGTGTATCACTCCATTCCTCTATTCAGTCATTGATCCATCTTCCTTTTGATGTTGAAGTAACTTTCAGCACATCAGTACATTTCCCTTCTAATGTTTTAACAGGAATATCACTAAATGGAGTCTAATAGTTGTTTGACTTCTTTATTCTTCTTACATGTTTCCATGTGCAAACTTACATAGCTCTGGCAAATGTATTTCTAACCCCTTATGAAGATGTGGAGCATTACCACTACCCTAGAAAATTTGCTCATATCCCTTTCCCATATAATTTATAGATTTCACAAGTAACAATGCACGGGACATATTTAGACTAAAAAAAATTTTGCTGTTGATCCTAAATTCAAATTTAACTGAGAATCCTATATTTTATCTGGAAACCCTTACTGTATAGT